TCTGATTAGTTAGATGTAGGATGCATCCTGCTGACCTTAATGAGCCCCCTGGATGCTAGAACCTACTCATACTGCTAGTATTTAAATTTAACTATTACATCTATCTTACGTTCTCAAGACTCTACATGTACTCACATGATATTACCTCACACCTACCAATTCATTGTATCTGCACAAAGATTGATGTGGGTCTCTTTTCTGGCTGGCTCAGCTCACCCTGTGGGAGGGACTTGCATGGCATGTGGTGCCAGGGAACGTTGGTCCCCTGCACCTGCCTGAGCTTGCCTAAGCAGGTGCTTTGGACCACTGAGCTATCTCGCTGCCCCCTGATGTGGGTCTTAATTAGGCCCATTTCACCAGTGAGACAACGAGGCTCAAAGAGATGAACCAACCTGCCCAAGATCCTGTGTGTGTAGTGGATCCAGGAATAAATTACGGCAGTGTGGCGGCAAGTCTAGGCTTTGAATTACTGTATCTGAATTGCCACTCGGCACAGACCTGTCTGAGGCTGTCCCGACCACCAGAGCTGCAGCTCTGGCCCCTCCTGACTGGCCTTGTCCTAGAGTCCTTGCTCCTCTCAGCAAGCAGGGTCTCTCTTGTCCACCCTAGGGGAGGCTCACCATGCAGCTCTCTTCCATTTTGACAGGAATCAGGAATGAAGACCTCTGAGGCTAAGGAACGTTCCCACCTGCATTCTGCAGTGGTCTAAGGAGACTTTTTAAATAATCCAGTTGTTTGAACAGATGACTGATCTGAAGATTCCATGTGCAGTAAGTTTGAGAAAGGGGGAGGGAAGCGCTATAAGATTCATCCGAGTCAAGCTCCTCCCACGCCAGCCAGACTCTGTGTTTCTCACAAGCACCTGCCAGCCACGACCGAGTGGAAAACGCGGAGCTGTAGTACTAACGGTGAGAAGAAAAGAGAACAACTTCAAACTGGCCATATATGGGATGTGACTTTCAACAAAGCACAGCCCTGCTTCCTGTTGGGCAGTGACACGGAGCAGCTCAGAACAGCACAATGAAAGGAAAATGCTGAGCAGACAACAATAAACGGAGGAATAAACAGGGCCCAGGTTTTTCTTTAAACCAACATATGTGGCTGGGTGGGTTGTAGTGTTTTATTTATATTGCCATGCAACGGAGGAAAAAAAAAAAAAAAAAAAAAAAAGAAGGTGAGCTCAATGAAAGCCATCTGATTGCAGGGCCTGACAGATGTTAGGAGGGTTTCTGGTAGACATTAACCATGATATTAGAAATTAATTTAGTAGTCAATGGCTAGGCTTGACTTTTGTTTTAAAAATTCAGGGGTGAAGACCGTCAGTGGCCCTAGGCCAGGTAGTGCTCTGCTGGCTCTGGCAGGAGCTAGCTGAATGTTTAGAAATCCAGGAGCAGAGCTGAAGGAAACTTAAACTCAGCTGCCAAGAGAAGGCTGTGAATCGATCCGTGAATCACAGATCAGAAAACACACCGGCTGTCTCTGTGCCTGCTTTTTCCTGACTGGCCAGGAGGCGTTGTCACCAGGGGGAACCTTAGCTTCAAAAGGCAGGACCTAAGGGTGTGTGTACTTTAAGTCGTGGCCAACCAGGGAAAAACAGTGTCAGAAGCTAGGGTGGAGCTTTTCTGTGACCAGATTCCTTCAGTGGCAGGGAAGGTGGATAGCTGCGTGCTTTATTTCACACAAGTGTGTTTCTCCAAGTCTTTAGACACTTGTTTCAGTTTGTTCCTTTGGTTGCGCTGGTAGACATGGAAGGCCACCTGCGTCTGCTGTGCTCCTGCCACCTGAGCAGAGGAGGTTCAGGGCTGGATCTCTGGAAGCAAAGGGTCATGGCTAGGAAGGGGCAGGCAGAGGCGGCCAGGTCTCCAGATGACGCTAAGGACTCATTATCTGTGCTAATCAGAAAGCTCTTCATATTGACTTTTCTAATCTGCAGCCTCCCTAATTCAGTCTACAGATATTTATTGATTATTTCCTATGTGCTGAGCTCTATTCTAGGAGCTGAGCTATAGCTGTGAATGCAACAGAAACAAACGCTTGCTTTTAGGGTGCTCTAAGTTCTGGCAGGGAAAAGTCTCAAGTACAATTTGAGAAGACAATGTGTAGTTATCGCCATCTGAAGCCAGGCTGAGAGTCACTTGGCACACACATATGCTACTTGCAACACGAAGGGAGTCAGAAGAGAGAGCTGACATTTATTGAATGCCTCCTATGGGGCAAGCACTTGATAAGGAATAAATTCCGGCAGTGTGGTGCCAGCACCCACTTTGTAGGCTTTGAATTCCTGCATCTGAATCGCCACGCTGCACAGGCCTTTGCAGAAACACCTGTGTGCACTTACTGCCTACGAGGCCCACAGAATGGTGAGGTTAGATGCTTGGGCTATTGCTTTCAATCCTCTCACCACCTCTATTTCTCTAGGTGCATAGAGGAGAAAGCAAGTGCAGGAGTAAGAACAGCGTGCTGGAGCACCACCTGCTAGACGTCTCTACACTCAGGCCTGCCAGAGTCAGCCTTCAGGTAGTGGTACACAGTCCCCTTGCTCTGCTCCTCCGGTGGTAGATGCTGGGGATCACCTTTGCTCAAGTCCATTCTACAGTCTTTAAGAGTCAGCCCTCTCTCTCCTCGGGAGGCACTTCCAGGCTCCTCACCACTACTTTGAGCAGTTCTCTGAGCTCCTTAATCAGATCATACATAGAGTGTTTCTGACCTCAGTGGCTAACAGATGGAGAACCTCAAACTTGCTTCCATGCTATTTCCCTTCCTTGCCGTGTTTTTGGCCAACAGTGTGAAATGCGTCACTTGATTATACCCTTTTCTTGTTATTCTATATGCATTGGTCTCATTTCCTCAATTAGATTAAAGGTGTAGGGAACAGTGTACTAGAGTTGTAAGTGGTTATATGTTTAGTAATGGTTGAACAGAGCTTCTCCAACTTGCGTGTGGATCAGAATTCCTTGGATGGCCTGTTAAAATAGACCACTGGTCCCTTCCCTAGAGTTTCTGACTCAGCAGGTCTGGGGAGGGCTGGGAATGTGCATTTCTAACAAATTCCCTGGAGATGCTGATGCTGCTGGACTAAAAGCCACACTTTTGAGAACTCCTGGTTAACTGAAGGCACCCAAGTATTTAGAGCCAGCGGGCAGGGTTTGAGTCTCATTTCTTCCACTCTTAGGTGTGCAACCCAAAGAAGCCTGTTTCCTCATCTATAAAAATGGGAGTAATAGTACGCTTATCAGTACTGTCATGAGGATGAACTGTAATCATGAATTTAATGTGGTTAGTGCTGTCCCTGACACATCGAAAATATTCAGCAAAGGCTTCCAATTGTCCCTAGAAAGGTTGGCACAACATCAGATATTAAATAAGCACCAAAGCAAGCCTAATAACTCCTTTTTCAGGCTGATATATGTATTTGTATGGACCCAGAATAAAGGGTGTCATTGTGGTATGATTTCTATAATTAACAGCATTTTAGCCTCTGTGTGTGTGTGTGTGTGTGTGTGTGTGTGTGTGTGTGTGTGGTACTGGGGGTTGAACTTAGGGCCTCACACACCCTAGGCAAGGCCTCTACCTCTGAGGTATGTGCCCAGCTTGTTTTAAATTTTATTTTGGGATAGGATCTTGCTAAGTTGCCCAGGCTGGCCTGGAACTTGTGATCCTTCTGCTTCAGCCTCTCAAGCAGCTGGGATTACAGAGTGGACCTCCAGGCTTGGGTTAGGTTTTACAGTTAAGTCAGACTACTACAAAGTGGGATGGGGAGAGGGCTTAAGAAGTGCCCCTTCCCTGCGAGCGCCCTTGCAGTGCAAAGTCTGTGGGCAGTGAGCCTCCTCCACAGTGTTTAGAGCCAAAGGAGCTAAAGATGGCCTTTAAAGAGCTGGGAGTTGCTGGAGTGGCCCTGGCGACAGGACTAATGGCTTGGCAGGCACGAACTGGATCCCCTCATTCAATAATTAATTACTTGCGGTTCTGGGAAGACAACCTCCTCAGAGCAGACAAGATAACCACCTCCTCCAGCCCAGGGGTTTTAAAACACCCAGGCCCCTGTGGGTCTTTCCCCCACTTAGGAACCCTTCCACCCCAAGCCGACTTGCATTTTCCCTCAGGGTCTGTCCGAGTAGTTTTACAGGCTGTCCTTCTCCTAAGAAAGCGCTAGAGAGAGTGAGCAGAAAAGCCCATGTTCAGACCTTTCTCGCAGTTCTCCGGGGCCTGGGACAGGGTGTCCAGGGAGCTTGGGGTGGTCCAGTCTGAAACAGCCCTAATAGTGTGCGAGCAAAGGTCACTGCCCTGTCTCTGCGAGCTGCTGTCCCCAGAATGTCGTCGGCTGAACAAAACGCTGCAAAGTTGGATGAGATCACCTCCGGGGCTTTAGTATTGAGCCAGGCTGTGGCTGGGCGAAGGCTGCGGAGCGCTGCTTTTTGGAAGCTCCCGCCCCCCACCTCCACAGGGAAGCACCCACCCCCTCCTCATCCCGCGCAACCTTCCCCTAACGCCCAGACAAGGACGACTCTTCCCACCTCCCGCAATTTGCATCCCTCCCCCATTTCCTAAACACATCCCCAGGGGCAGGTGCTGTCCGCACACTCCAAATGGGGCGCCACCCAAGGCGGCCCCACGGCAGGGGTTCCCTCCCAAGTCCGGGGCCAGGCCGCCAGTCGGGCGGGGAGACGGGCGTGAAGGGGGTGTGTGCACCGAGGCCACGTCCTGCGACAGCTGGGGACCCGCACCTGGCGTCAGTGCCCAGGCAGAGGGTCTTCTGGGGAAGAACAGACCAGATCGCCCTTCTCACCGGTTCTCGCGGCTCATCCTTCTCTCTCCGACCTCTCGGCCTTCACCCGTCCCCTCCCTCTTTGTCTGCCTTTTCGCCTTCGCCACTCTCGCACCGTGCGCTCTCGCAGAGGCAGGCTGGGCGCCGCGGCAGCCCCCTCCCGGGAGACCCTGGCCCTTCCCTTCCCTGCCCTTCCCTGCCCTGCCCGTCCCGGCCCTGCCGGCTGGGGTCTCACCCAGAAGAGCAGGTTGAAGCCGAGCAGCAGGTACTTGATGCACCGCAGGCCGCCGCGGAAGCGCCCCATGCTGCGGCCCCGGCGGCGGGCTCCAGAGTCCCCAGGCCCGCTCCACGAGCCGGGGCAGCGTCGGGCGCCGGCGGGGAGGGCGGGTCGGAGCGGGTCGGGGGCGGGTCCGGGGGCGGGGCCTGGCGGCCGGGGCGGGGCCTCGGGGACCCCAAGCGGCCAGCCTGCAAGTGGTAGGAAGCCGTGGGAAGCCGTGGGAATGCAGATCCCGGGACCAGGGACCCCATTCCTTCCTCTGGATGCGTGCAGCACCTTTTTTTCTCTTCCGTTAAGTCCCCGAGCATCTGCGAGGAAGGTGCGTCGGCCTGGGACGCGGGACCATAGTAATCCACCCCCGGTGCCCTGACTCCTCCGAGGTCTGCATCGGTGGTGGAGGGATGAGGACGCGGCCTCGGTGGCTATGGAAACCGAGGATGGTGAAGGATGGTGACTTCGGGGAGAAGAGACGAGTAGGACCGTGGAAGGCGCCCGGCCGTTATCTTCTCAGGCCGCGGAGGCCGATGCAGGGGACCCTGCCTCTGCCGCGCTCCTGCCAGACCACTGTTACCTTAATAGGCAAGGACTGAGGAGTGAGAGAGCTGCCGGCCTCCCGTGCCTCCTCTGCACCCCGCCCTGCTCCCCTGCCCAGGAGAGGAGTCAGACTGCTCACATCCTGCGGATTCCACCGATGGGAGGACTTGAAAGCAATCCAAATTCTCAGGGTCTTAATTTTGATGTGGAGATGGGAGGAAGGCGTGGGGGGGGCGTTTTCAGTTTTGCTTTGTTTTTACTAAGTTAGGCTGTTGGCAGGGAAATCAGGCTCCCACTTAGGTTGACTAAGTATGTACAATATGTAGTGTCAGACAGGATTGGGAGGCAGGAAAGTATAAGATTCAGGGAGCTCGTGTATTAATTCAGCAACACTCTACGTGCCTATTATAGACCAGGCATAGTAGCGAGCTGCAGGATCAATGAGGAGAAGACAGCTGGGCCTGCTACCACTTTTCCAGGGAGGGAGACAGATGTGTAAGCAAATAATTGTAACCGGTGGGAAGGGTCAGCTAAGAGCCATGCAAGCAGCTGGCCCTGTGTATATACCAGGGAAGGTTTTGTTAGGAGAGCAGACCTAGAGCCACTGAGAAGCAGAGCGTCCAGCAAGACGAAGAGCCATCCTTACAGAGCGCGGGAGCAGGTCTCTGGAGCAAGAGATGCCGGGAAAAGAAGAGAAATGCAACTTGCCCAGCTGGAGCAGGCAGCTGAGAAATGTGCACCAGTGTCCTAGCGTGAGCCTCAGTTTCCTCGTCTGTTGCATAGGGATGGTAGTACCTGCTTCAAAGAGTTGTGGCAATCGATGAGCCAGTGCCTCTGACGTGCCCAGAATAGTGCCCAGCACAGAGTAAGTGTGATCAATACAGGGTTAGCCATCCTAGTATTGCACTCTTATCAGGCAACCACCCATTCAGTCTCTACTGTGTTGCTGTCTCGCCCTACATCTGCCTCTGTGAGCATATGGTTGACTCTCTAGTGAGTTTATTTATGAAAACGAGTAGAAGAAAGAAAAATGAAAGGGCTGATTCTGGTAGTAAGTGTAACTTTCATATGGTGAACTAGAGGCAAAGAGAGAAGTCATTAGGTATGCGGAGGCGAAGCTTCAGTTTCGGTCAGAGACAGCCCTGTGTCTGTCACCCCTGTTTTACTATCAAGGAAAAGAATGAGTGACTAGTACCTAGCTGGTATATAGTAAATGAACCAAATAAACAACATTAGTATTGTGCTTAAATTGAATTTTATATCTCTAAAACAAAATACAGTTAGACATCATGTATTCTATATTCTCGGTGAACAGTACCCCTATTATGATATATAAATCCATTGTTCTTTCATAGTATAACTTTAGCACACATATAGTAGAGACCCATGGCTGTTTGCTTAACGTCGGGTTTAGATTTTTTGAGTGTGGATTTGCCCAGACCCACTTTCACAAAATTGTATGTCTTAGCGGAAGCTCACTCTTGGCAGGACTAGGCTCAGATAATCCTAATCATCTTGTAATTAGTTCAGGAAACAAACTGGCAGGTGTCCTGCTTGGTGGAATGGAGTGGTGTCTACTGGGGTCTAGGTTTTGCTTCTTCCTCTTGAAGTTGTCGGGCCTGGGTATTGTTTGAAGTCACTGCACCCATCTGGGGATCAGTGTGAGGACAGAGTCAACAGCGAGTATCACAAAGCAGAAAGTTGGAAAAACCCAGAGTATTGACCATGTGACTCCACCATCAAGCCAGCCAATCGCAAGCCACTTGTAGTCTAGGTTTTTGGGTGTGTAGGTGTATGTATATGTATGTACGTAGTGTAGCAGAGAGGCACCCTACCTAGAAATGCACTTTCCAGAGTACATTATTGTATGAGAGCAGAGGCATAATGAGAAAATCAGCATTTGAACTAATTATTACTGGCATTGCTCCTCTTTCCAGTCTCTTTTTTTTTTTTTTTCTCTCCGGTCTTGAGCTCAGACGAGACCCCTGAAGCTCTAGGACATGTTGCGACTATGCGGACCGGGCAAGAGGATTTGTAGACCTTCTAGCCAAGGCATCGTTTGGCTATGTAACCAACACCAGCATCTGCCTACCTCCAGATTTCTTTCTTTCTTTTTCTGTTTTTGTTTTTAGGGCAGGGTCTAGAGGGTGTTCAGGTTCTCACTACTAGATCGGACTCATAGTGATCTGCCTGTTTACAGCTTCCCAAGTGCTGGGATTACTGGCATGTGCCACCATGTCCAGTCTCAATTGCTGTCTCAGCATGCCCCGGGGGCAGGGCTAGCATGGCAGGCCTGGGATTGAACCCCAGCCCTTGGTGCTTTAATCCACTGAGCTATTTGGCCAGCCCCACAGTTTTTTTAAAAAAATTATTTTTAGTTTTATTTATTTATTTATTTATTTATGTGTGTGTGTGTGTGTGTGTGTGGCCAGCTCAGCCCACCAGGGGGCGGGGCTGGCTGGCATGTGGTGCTGGGGGATTAAACCGCGGTCCCTGTGCTTTGCTAAGCTTGTTCTAAGTAGATGCTTGAGACCACTGAGCCATCTCACCAGCCCCAGCCCCACAGTTTTTGTTCTGTAAGAAAAACCCCTTTGTGTTTGACTTTGTGTTCTATTGCTTGTAGCTGAAGTGCTTCTTAACTGCTAGGGGAGAGACAGTGCATTCATTGTAGGATTTGCTGAGTTTTAGATCTGCTGGGAAATCCAGATGGAGCGAAAATAGAACTGGGCTTCTAGGGAGAAGATCAGGCTCTAAGTTTATGGTAAGGATTCATTAGCGAATAGTACTAACAAAGCTGGTAGTCTTTGGGCTTTGTACCATACATTTCCTAAAGGAATTAGGAAAAGATATTTCCTTTTGTACTTTCTCCTCAATATTTTATGATGACCTTTTAAATATGCAGAAAAAGGCCAGCCAGATAGCTCAGCAGACTAAAGCGCCTGCTTAGGCAGACACAGGGACTGGGGTTCTGGGGTGCCATGCTGGCCCCAACCCCAGGGTGTGCTGAGACAGCGACTGAGACTGGGCATGGTGACAAGCGCCTGTAATCCCAGTGCTTGGGAGGCTGAAAACAGAAGGATCACTACAAGTCCAATCTGTGTAGTGAGATCCTGTAGACCCTGTACTAAATACATTTAGAATAAAATAATAAGTAAATATGCAGAAAATTTGAAATAATTTGGGAGTGAGCACCATATACTTACTACTTATGTTCTAAATTGACACACTTTAGTTGCCTGATATTTATCTACATATCTGCCCATTTGTCAACTTGTCTTATGCATTTTAAAATAATACATCTAATCTCTCACATCTAATTTCTTAGGCATAATGACATTTATACAGTTCAAATATCTGTTTTCATTGCTTTACATAAAATTTACATCAATAGGATGTGCACATTTCAAAAATTTTTATTTTTTACTTTTTTATGTATTTGATACAGGGTCTCACTCTGCAGCTAAGACTAGTAGAGATCCTCCTGTCTCAGCCTCTCCAGCACTGTGATTATGGGCATGCGTCACTATGCCCAGTTTCAGATGTGCATATTTAAGTATGCCATTTAGTAGTTTTTGACAAATACTCTAATCCTGTTACAAAGCACAGAACATTACTGCTGCCCTGGAAATTTTCTTGTATCCTTGTTAGGCAATCTGTGCTCCCGTCTCTCCTGGAGGCAGGCATTGTCTCGGTTTTCTTGCACCGTAGATTAGTCTTGTCTATTCTAGAGCTTTATGTGCATGGAATTGTACAGTACTCTGCCTCATACATTTAAGTTATTATAAAATATATTATAACAATATTTTCAAAAGGAGTCACTTCCAATGAATCTTAAATATTGATTTTTAAAATACAATTGTCACAGGATTCGTTTTAGTATATCTTATAGAAAGTAATGCCAGTGTGATTTGCTATCTATTGTCATCCATTTCAAAAATACATGAGCAAGCTCATCTTCATCAGCATGGGAGTTCTGTATCTTTCCTTTTTCTCCTTGAATGTATATTTTTATTCCACAAATATAATCCTAAAACAATACAGCTTTGTGCTTGAAAGATTTTTTTAAATGTTCTTTCATACTTGTCTAGACAAGCAGTGCTATAAGATGGTTAAGACAAATTAATTTTCCCCCCCAAGAACTGCAGTTAATTGATTTCATCTAGATTGTGTCATTATTTGCAAAAGAACTGATAAAAATAACACATGTAATTTAAATCAACAATCATAGGAATAAAAGCAAAATATTATCTAAAATGTCTCTTAAAGGGATTGGTGGGGTTGTGTTTTTTTTTAAATAGCTCCATGAATGGAAATTTCTTATTACTAGACCAACAGAGAAGTGAGCATAAGTTCTCTTAGGTTTTTTGTTGCTTTAATATTAATGCTAAGGGGCTGGGGATATAGCTCAGTGGCATAAGTGCCTGCCTGGCAAGCTCAAGGGCCTGGGTTCGATCCTTGGTTTAAAAAAAAAAAAAGTAAAGTAAAGAAAAGATAAAGCTAATGTTAATGCTGAGGTACTTTGTTTAGGCAAACAGGTAGGTGAGGATAAAGCTGTTGTAGCAATGCTAATTA